TACCCCTTCAGTCCCTCTACAGCCACAGCTGACTTGATCTGTAGAGGCTGTTAACAAAGTTGAAATAACCAACATAAGTATATACCAGAGGTGAATGATGCTTTTTGCATGCACTGATTGGCCAGTTCAGAAGTGATCAGTGAGTAATGATCACCTCTGAGATGCTGAAGAGACAACCTCATGCTGAGTTTATCAACTTACTTCATCAGTGAATTGCTGGGCGATAGCTTTTCTCATCAGGCCAATCACTGTTGCCTTCTCCTCTCCAATCTAGAGTAACAGTTAAAGTAATCAATATAAGTATCACTTTTTTAAGTAAGGTAGAATAAAGTCAATACTGCCTTTATTGGCCAAATAGTCACAACTTATCCCAGTTTCTGAAGCATGAAGCAACTAAGGCTATTGGTAACCCCCTTCCCACCCCTAATATCTTGTCAGGCTTCCCCAACAGTTTCTGGTACAAATTTATACTCGCGGGTGAAGAGAGGTAATGGGAGGGTAGAGTTTCTGGTCCAAGCACAAAGAAGTATTAAACCTTTATCTTTCAAACTGTGTTGTGTGTAATTTCTCCATTGATCCCTAACTAGCACCCTGTAACACTGGCAAGGAGAATAGACAACACTAGAAGCTACACAGTGATACTTTGCCATATAACCAAATAATTCTGCCTGGTTCACAAAGAAATGTATGGTAGCCAGGGGGGAGAATTACAAACTCGATCTTATGATTTAAATAGTTCAGAATTATAGCATTATTCTGCTCAATGTTGCCTTTAAGCCTCACCTTGCATTTTACAGTCCACAAATTTGGGTCTCTGTGAAATAACAATCATGAAAAAAAAATATATAAAATTGGGATCTTTATAACAAGAAAGAGAGAGAAAAAAAAGCAGTACCAAGCTTATCTCAATATCTTACTTGACACCAGGGAGAAGACTTTGCTGTTGAACCTCTGGCTGCAGTTCATAGTCATCTTTATATCTGTGGAGTTAAGTGCAAAAAATTCAACTACCTTTAGCTTCATGCAGACTCAATTCATATTGATGTAAAACCTGACCAGAATTAAAAAGAGATTTTTTTCTACCTAAGGTATTTTTTATGAAGGAAAGTTGGAAATTTGTAAAATCATTGTAAAGAACATGCAATGTTTTTCTGTCAACCTTTCAGATGTCTCAGCAAACTTCTTCTTGTAATAAGCCTCCAATTCCTCAGCATTTTTGTCTCTAACCATGAGAAAAAGGAAAAAAGAATAAGTTGTTTGTTAGACACCAGTAGTTGTTAGCACTTATTAAAATGGGTTTGTTATTAAAATGTAGTTAGATCTTGTGCTCAAACAGCAAATTCATTGCAATTTCCACTACATGTACATGTATATGTTGTAGTTCAATTTTATCCTTGGTTCAAATTTTATTTTCCTTTGTTCTTGGTCATGTTAATGTATGATAATGAATTTGAAACAAAGGAAAATAAAATTTGAACCAAGGATAAAATTGAACTACAACATACACATTGCTTGGCACCTCACAACAATGGCAATAGTGACATTTCTGACATGCTGGAGGCTACACTCTTCAACAACGATAAGTTTCATGTTGTTGTAAAAAAAGCCACTTTCAAATCGATTATGAAAAAAGAAGTTTTCAAGTTACAGTCACCACTCCACAAAAAATTATCCTCTCTCCTTCCCATACTCAATTCCATGAGACAAACTCAACATCAGTGTAGGAAAGAAGGGAAAAGGAGAAGAAGTGCTACACTACATGTATTAATCCATTAACCCGCACCAGTGTCTGGCTTCTATTTTTTCCTCAAAGTATCATCCTTGAATCAAATGTAGACGTCATGAGAATAATGGCAATGATCACTAATTTAAAAAGCTGCTGATTGTTAAACAAATTCTCCTAATTGTCATTACCAGAGGAAACGTAGAGGGAACAGTGAAGAGAATATGAACACTACTGTTGGGAAAGGTTAAAGGACATTTTATGAATCATTATATTACAATGCTATGTTTACTACATACCCAAGCATCTGTTGTAAACGCCTGGCACCCTTTAGACATAAAAAATAATTTGTTATTGAACTTAAATTTATTTTGTTGAAAGACACATTCAAGAACACATCATAAATATTTGCACATTTGTGTATGGTTAGGGATGTTTCTACTGAGAATCTCCTCATGGTGAGAATTATTTCCTACTTCATCTCAAGTGAGACAATAATCAGTTGAAGCAATAACAGTGATTTACTAGGCCTGCAGGGAGATTGTTATTGTAGAATCTGGCCAAACAAGATGGCGTTATTTACAGGAATCCCTGAGAAAAAGGTTTACATGGCAAGACTGGAAGACCAATGCAAGACTAGCCTGTACCCAGACTGCCACTATTTCAGAGCACACCCACAACACCAGACACCAACTGCTTTGGAATGAGGTTAAGTTTATTGATCATGATCCTCACTGGTATACTCGCAGATACAAAGAGGCTGTTCACATAAGACTTCACCCTAACAATATCAACAAACAGTGGAATAGAAATTCCTGAGGCGTGGATGCCCACCATAAAAAAAACACAACAACAGGAGAGCCGTACCACAGCCAACTGCCAAAGGAACAACTCACTAACATTGAGGATCAAAACATGCCAATCACAGCTGTGGAACCAATCACAGCAGAGCATCCTGCTTTATAGGAAGACCTGATTAAGACCAGCAGCATGCAGTTGAAACACCGCCATTTACATCTCAGTGACCACATTGTAAGACAAATGACAATTCCTTACTACTATTGTACTTTACCATGATGAACAAGCACAACCTTTTTTCCAAAACATTATACATGTACTGTAAATAGAACAAATTTATCACATATTTTCTTACCGATATATCATCACCAATTGCTTCATCACCCAAGTCATCTTGAAGAAAAATATTTAAAACAGTTAAGAGCATTAGATTATTTTGATAACAGTCAAAATAAAGCATTTTCATTCATAAAAAGAAAATACAATGAGAAACTGACAAAATGTAAACACAACCATGTCAGAAGCATGACTGCCATGGGTTTTAATTATACATTTAATTGATTGATAAGGTCACTTGAGTATTACTGAAAAACTTCTCTGTTCTCAGTTGAAAATTACTTCTAACATATCTTTGTCATTACTAATTATTGGCACACATCCATTAGTGTCCATTGGTTCTACATGGCATTGAATTCAGGGGTTTGGTTTTTTAAAAAGAGGAAAACCAGGGAATTTAAAGAGAAACTCTCTAACTCTAACCCTCTGCAAGATCAAACAACAACTCCTTTGAAACACCTCTTGTCCTGGTTGTTCGAAAGTTGGATAACACTAAGCACTGCAAAAATCTCAGTAGAGTGGATGGTGCAGTTCATTAATGCTTATCCACTGGATAGCAATTTTTAATTTTTGGATTGATAATCTGCCTTTTGAACAACTGGAACCTGGTCTGGGAATCAAACCCAGGCATTGCTGATAGGAGATACATAATTTATTCTAACAACATTCAAGAAAACTGACTTTCAATTAAATCTGTATATCCATCTTCAGCTTGTTCACCATCTTCATCGTAGTCATCATCAACATCTAAAAGAACAAAAAATACACCATTCATGCAAATATCAAAAACACTGCCTTTTTTCCCAGTTGCATTGAAGAATCAGCATTGTAAAAATAATAGTAAACCTGCTTCATCTATGATAAACCCAGTGTTATGACGCCTTTTCTTCTTTCTCTGTCTGTCATCCTCAAACTCATCATCTTCATCAAAATCATCTTCATCATCCTCATCGTCCTCATCAATTTCTTCATCATCCTCTTCCCTGGTGATATCCTCACCTTCCTACACAACAGCAGTAACAAATACCAGGGGTTTCAATGGTAGCTGTGTAATGAGCAGATCAACACACTGGCTACCTGCTGTACATGATCATTCATTCTACTCTGAGTAAAGGTGTAATTTTCTTCAAATAAGCAAACATCCAGGAACAACAACATGTAAATAGGAATAGACCACAATGTAGGACAATGAAACTGCAAGAGTCTAACCCTTCAAAGTGAACCCAGACCTCCTTTGGAGAAGGAGGTTCTTCTTCAAAACTGCCTGCCTGCTATTCAAAAATACCCATTTCCGCCAAATTTTATTGCAACCACTGGATATACCGACTGATCAACATAACCACCTATTTCACAGAAATACTAACCCAAAAAGTAACCTACGATTGCTTCAAACAGCTCACAATTCAAGCTTTTTATGTGTATTAAACCACAAGCATCCCAAGCTCACGTCTCATGGAAAAACAAAAGATTATTTCTTGAAAGTATCATACTTTGTGTGACGCATATCACCGTATCACTCTCGGTAGAGATAAAAATTAACCTTGGCCCAAAATGGCGGAAATCGCCAAAAAACACAACAGACACACAAGGAGTGTGTGAAGAGTTAATCTTTCGTTTTTCCTCGAGACGTGAGCATGGGACGCCTGTGATTAAACGAGCCAATTTGATTGTGGGAACAAACAAGTAAACAGCAATTCGATGTAAAATCTATAACAAATTTAGTGGCACCTACAGGAAAAAAGAGCAAAGAAAGGTGAAGCTGTATTAAAAGAACAGCCTCTACGACTCATCAAACAAAAGGATTTACACAGTCTTTTCCCCTTAATTATTTTGCAAACTACCCACGAACACAAGAAAATTCAACCATGCTTTTGGAACTTTGGAACAATACGATCGCTGCAGACAAATAAACTAAGAGGTAATAGATACATAAAATGGTAAAAGTAAAAGTAAAAGCATCGTACCTCATCCGAATATGGCGACTCGTCGCTGTCAGACATGTTGTGTTTGAGAAAAAGACTAAGAAAGACAAGCTAATTCGCACACCACTCTCTTCAAGGTGGCGGCGATCGTTACCATCCGGGTTAGTCTTGCAAGTTTTCTATTCATGTATGAGTACTGTATTGTCTCGAAAGATTTTGGAATCAACATGGCGGATCTCGTATGGAGTTTTGGTGGTAATTTTCTCGCCGTTGTTTGCAGTGCTGGGGCTAAAGTTCTGGATGTAAGGTGAGATACAACGAAAATATCGATGAAAAGACGCAATAGAGAAAACAATTTGATATGAGGTGCATCGTTCGGAATTCAAAACTACCTTGATGCATATGGTCGTGTCGCAACTTTTGAACTCTCGTGTTTTTAGTAAAAACACGAGAGCTCAAAAGCTTTGAATTAGGGGCCCCCTTTTGAGTCACTGAGTCATGCAGGAATCATCAGCTGTTTTACGGTGCGTTTAAGGTGGCTGGTACCAGTTTTCATCTTTTTGATGGTTTGTAACTTTGAAAGAATGGGCCATTCCATTTAAAATCCGCACTCCCCCTATTGAAGGCTTTCCTGTAACACCCCTCAAGAAAAGAAATTTTTTAACCCTCTTCAGAATTGCCTGAAATTACCCCCTTCAGAATTTTATGTAGCTATCAAGCAATCCAACTGAACCCCCTTCAGAAACTATTCGTGAGAATTTCTGTCAAGGGTACTTTATGGCGACCCCTCTCAGAAATATGGTTCAACCCCCCTAAGAAAAAATGTAGCATTGACCCCCCCTCACCCTAAGAAATCCCAGGCCTTCAATAGGGGGGGGTGCAGATATTAAATGGAATGGCCCAATACAACAAAAAGACTGACCAAGGCCAGTTGAACACTTTTACAGGGTTGAATTATATAATGATTGGTTATTCAAAAATAGGTGTCACTTCGTCAGTAGCAGTTTCCATGGAAACGCTATCATAGGCTTATTCAGATGCATTTTTTAGCTTGTGGCTTAAATAATTCCAAAACTAACCTGGTGACCCCGTGTTTTTTTTCAGTGATTGCATTTGGCACTTGTAAAGGAAAATGCACAAAGATTTTAAAAAAATTCTACGGAGCGGAATTTCAGAAAATCTAGAAGAAAGGCAATTTTCACACCTCGCAAATTTCCTTCCACAGAATTTTCTAGGGCGAAGACTCGTCAGAATCCAATTTTTATTTAAGAATACTTTTTTACATGTTAAATACATACCAAAACTATAAAAACCCTGTTGGCCGTATAGACACTTTAAGGCCCTCCAAGCGATTCATTTCTTCTTTTAGCTTTTCTTTAATGGCGATCGGCGCCTTACTTGTTGGGAGTTGAACTGGTGGTACATTTGGGTCAATTTCTAGGTGAAAGTCACCTGCCAACGTGCGCAGTGCCGTGATGTAAGCATCGAGAGATTCATTTGGCTCCTGGTCCCTTTTGTTAAATTGATATCTCTCATATATTTCGTTTGTCTCTCCAATGCAATAATACTGTAGTTTTTGGAGAACAACATCATTGTCCTTCTTATCAACTTTGTTTGCGAATTCTAAGCCTTCATACACATCTAGAGCATCTGAGCCAATACAGGGTAGCAGTGTGGCAGTCCTCAGCAATTTGTTTGCAGTAGGGTTTTCAGGATCTTTTAGACGTGCAGCAATTTCATAGTTATTCCAGGCAGGGTAAAATTTCTTCCAGTTTGTCACCAAATCCCCTGCAAGCTCCAATTTTGAGGGCAATGGGATGTTTATTGGGATTTGTACCAGATTTGGTTGTGCGACGGCTTCTTATGCTTGCACAGAAGCGCCGTTACCCTCGGCCATACTTAGTATTTTGAAGTTGGTTAGATTTCTTCAGCTGGGATTTCCTTCCGAAGATACAAGACAATTCCACTTGCCATTGTCTTTCGCTATTCTTTGTGAAGAAGTTGTCGGGTGGCTATTGCGGAATACAGTAGAGACCAGAGACTATCCTCTAGACAGGTCGCAGATCAACCGGGATTGAGTTGTTCGACCACGTGTGTGCAAGTAAATTTCTCTCAAGAATGCTTTCCAGCACACTGAGTGGTAATTCCTCGGTGACAACGGATGTAGCAACCAGGATCCCACTCCTGACACCATGTAATGTGTTCGCTAAGACAGACATTGAAGCACCAGAGTCTCCAAACACAACATTTAATCTTTTAAGCCAAGTGCACATCAAGTGAAGAGTCAAATACATCCGGGAACTCAGACATAAGCTAAACTGTATAACTCAGACATAAGCTAAACTGTATAAATTAACTTAATATACATAAATTAACATTGTTACAGGTTTACAGTCAAGTCGCCTGAAAGTCATCTCACCCAAAGTCATGTCACCTGGAACGGGAGTCATGTCGTCTGAAATTTTAGTTGATAATTAATCCTGGCTGGGGCTTTTAGTTGATAATAATCCTGGCTGGGGCTTGACGTTGTGTCCTTAAGCAAGACGCTTCACTCACATTGCTTCGTCTTCTCGGATAGGACGTAAAGCCGGAGGTCCCGTCTCCTGCACCTATCAATAAGTTAATTTCGGCAAGGGACGTTAAAGAACCCACATCACGAGATTACTGTGATGTGGTCTGGCCTGTTTACTGGGAAGGGGGGGAGGGGGCATCTGTAAAAATTTCTCCTTTATTAATTATAAACTGCTGCCGGCAGTCTGGAAAAGTCCCCCACACAGTGTTGTAAAGCGCATTAGAGCATTTACATGGAAATGCGCTATAGAAATTGATCTATATTATTATTATATTATTATTATTATTATAATTTTAGTGATAAATAATGTTAGTGATAAATATGTCACAACTCTTTAGGATATTTAGATTCTGCAAGTCTGACCTTTTGAGTACTTTTTATTTTAGGCAATATGACTAAAATTTTAGGCAACATGACTCAAGTTTCAGGTGACTTGACTTTAAGCGAGATGAATTTTGGGTGAGTTGACAAGTTACTATTGATTATTGCCATATTTTGGTGAAATAACTCTAAAAGTACACGTTGCTTGGAAACTAATTATAATTGCTGTTTCTCCTTTTTTGTAGAGATGGAACCTGCAAGTTTTCTCATGCTGTTAATTGTGAACCACAGTCAGCTTTACCAGATGATGCCAGCACATTGGGACATGGAGTACTTAGTTGTTTTTCAAAGTCAGGGGGGTTATTTGCCCTTTGTACTCCACACAAAGAATTATTCATTTGGCAGACAAATGACTGGAAACTGCTAAACAAGAGGTACTGCTAACCCATTACACCCTGACATTAGTAGGTATATTCACTGATGTTTCTTCCATTTTGGGGAGGAATCCTTAATGTTATAAAGATGCTCACCTACCGGTAATTACTGCTTAACATCAAGATAATGTAGTTTTTAACAAAAACACATTCAAATTCAGACACTTGGAAGTTGGAAAAGAGGCACAGGACACTACTAAATCAAACACTTAAGACAAACCATGATTTGGCTTTGAGGAGCCTTAGATATTTTTTCGGCATTTACTATTTCAGAGAGGTCATTAGAAGATCAACAGTTATATTATTCACAAATAAGGAGGACAGCATTATAGTCAGCAACAAAGGAGGAGATGTCTACAGGTCTGTCAAATTGAAAGTAATTTTTATAATTTTTATAATTGAAAGCGTACCATGAAAATTTACATTACAAGGTGATAATTGAAGTCTACAAGGTGACTTATTAATGGCTAATTATTTCAATTTCTTTCCAGGTTTTTTGTGCATGATATTGTTAAAGAAAAAGAACTACTGTTGGGACATGTTTCCATGATTTTAGACATGGTAAGGTGACCAAGATCTATAATTTAGAACTGAAGCAAAATTCCTGGGAGAGTTTATGAATATAAAATCATTTTTTCTTTTGCATAAAAAAAGAGAGGTGGGATTGGTCTTGTTATAAGTGCAGTCCCCACAAGGAATACTTTAAATAAGTATGTTGGTGTTGTTACTAAGTAATGTAATGTCAGTGAAAAATGAATGGAAAAAGAGAGAAAGACGAGAAAAAAAGTGGGCTTTAAACCTGTGTATTTAGCTGTGAAGTCTGTTTTGCTAACTGTTCTTACTAAGAACTTGGATCCAGTACATTTAGATACTACTTTTTATATTAATAGAATTTCTCCCACTATAGAGAATATTTCTTTGAATTGGGATATAGTTAGAGATGTTTTAAAGTCTATTAATCCAAACAAAGCAGTTGGCCCTGATAATATTTTTCCTAAAGATCTTAAATTGGCACAAGACTCTGCTATTCAGGGTCTGCGAGAGGTGTTCAAAAAAAGCATGGATTGTTGTAAGTTCCCCCAACAATGGAAGGAGTCATTAGTCACACCTGTTTTTAAGAAAGGGAACAGTTTGGATCCTAACAATTACTGACCTATATCCTTGCTTAGTACACCAGGAAAGCTTCTTGAGAAAGTAGTATGTAATTCATATGATGATCATATGATATCCAGTGGCATTCTTACAAATAGACAATGGGGATTTAGGAAGGGCTATTCAACGGAGAGCCTTCTCCTTCATCTCACTGAGTCCTGGGGGAGTGCCCTGGATAGAGGCCATAAGGTTGGAGTCTTATTCATTGATTTCCACAAAGCTTTTGATTGTGTCGACCACAGTATTCTTACAGAGAAACTCAAGGCTGTTGGCTTGGCAGGTGATATGTGGAAATGGATCAATGACTATCTCTCCAACCGTGTGCAAGGGACTAGTGTAAGTGGGTCTAGATCTGATAGAATCCCCATTAGAGCTGGGGTCCCTCAGGGATCCTTACTGGGACCAAGACTGTTTGCATCTTATGTTAATGACCTCCCTGAATCTATTACCAGTGGAGAAGTCTATATGTATGCTGACGAATG